ATTGGCAAAGCTTGAGCTAGAATGACCAAGACAGAAAAAGGAGTCAATTTACTAGAATCATTAATGAAAGTGGGTACATTACCACCAACCTTTCAGAAATAAAAATGATTATAAGGAAATTACTATGAACTGTAAATACTATGCCAGTAAATTAGATAGTATAGATGACATGGACAAATTCCTAGAAACACACAAACTAACAAGCTTACTCAAGGAGAAATGGAACATCTGAATAGACTTATAACAAATAGAGATTGAGTTAATTATTTTAAAAATTCCACAAATAAAACCCTAAATCAGATGACCTTAGTGAATTCTGCCAAATGTCTAAAGAAGGTTTATCAAGAACTCTTCCAAAAAAATAGGAGAGAACGTTTCCCTAGTCATTCTCTGAGACCAACATTACCCTAATAACAAAGCCAGACAAAGACGTCATTTCCAAAAAGGAAAACGGCAGCCTAGCTGGTGTGCCTCAATGGTTGAGTGTCGACCCATGCACCAAGAGGTCGCCAGTTTGATTCTCAGTCAGGGCACATGCCCAGTTTGTGGGCCTGATCCCCAGTGGGGGCATGCGAGGGGCAGCCATTCAGTGTTCTCTCTCACTGATGTCTTTATCTTTCTCCCTCTCCTTTCCTCTCTTTCTAAAACCAATAAAGAAATAAAAACAAATAAAAAAAACTTGCAGATTAGTGTCCTTATAAATATAGACACAGAAGTCCTCAAAAAACTATTAGCAAACCAGGTCTAACATTTAAGGGGATTATACCCAGGAATGCAAAATTGATTTAACATGAGAAAAATCGATCAGTGTAATACACCTTATTAGTAGGATAAATTAAAAAACCACGTAATCAAAAAACAAACAAACCACGTAATCAACTTAAAAGCCACACAAAGCATAATACCTTTGCACCTTTGCATGATTAAAGAAAAACCCTTGCCCTGGCTGGGTAGCTCAGTTGGTTAGAGCATCATCCCTATACACCAGGGTTGCAGGTCAGGGCACATACAGGAATCAACCAATGAATGCATAAATAAGTGGAACAACAAATTGATGTTTCTTCCTCTCTGTCTCATCTCTCTCTCAAATTATACAATAAAAATAATTAAAAAGAACAACACTCAACAAATAGGACTAGAAAGGGGACTTCTTCAACCTGATAAAGGACATCTATGAAAAATTCCCATGTCATATTGTACTTAATGCTGAAGGACTGAATGCTCTCTTCCTAAGATCAGGAATAAGTTGAGGATTTCATTCTTACCACCGCAATTCATCATTGTACCATAAATTCTAGCCAGGACAATTGACAAGGAACACCAAAGGCATCCAAATTGGAAAAGAGGAAATTATTTCTACTTGCAAATAATGTGACCTCATACATGTAACAGGATGAGGAATACACACACATACACATGCGTACATGTTCAGTGTCACTAGCCATTAGGAAATGCAATTTAAGAATCAATTAGTTACCAGTACACATACCTATTAGCACAGCTAAAATAAAAAAACAGTGGCAATACCAAATGCTGGCAAGGATGGGAAGAAACGAAAGCTTTCATATGATGCTAGTGGGCACTTTAGGAAATACTCTGGCAGTTTCTTAGAAAACAAACATACCATACTACCTAGCAATTTCACTTCTAGGCATTTACTCCAAAGAAATAGGATAGCCAGTAAACATCTGTGCTAGGAACAAGCATAGCAGGTCTGCTGTGGCTGAAGCTCGGGGCAGATGGCGGGGATTTTCAAAATAATGATCCTGGAAAGCGGTGGGACAGGGCCTGTAGTCTATACCTTTTTTCTTTTTTTGCATCTCTTTCCCTACTTTCTCCACCTACCTTGGGCCTTTGGCACATATATTTATTTTTTTGGTTGATTCTTAATGTGTGTCAACAAGCTGGTTAAAGAGAATTTTAATTGCTAAGAATTTGGTGAATTCAGGTCCAAAATAGACCATCATCTTTAAAAAAAATCATGTCTTACGTTAATATATACATTTTGTGTGTATGTTTATTTTTCTAAAACTTTCACATTTACCTCATTGGGGGTGGGTTCAGAACCCTGGGGACCGTAAGCAAGCCTAAGACAGTGGGTGAGCCTGCCGCCCAGTCTGCCCGCACAAGTGCCTTCCGCTCCTCAGTGCCTTTGTCTTCAGAGCCAGTGGGTCCGGCTGGATCTGAGTTTGTCCTCTCTGTAGACTTCTCAGCACTGTTGTTCTGCCCTGGTTTTAGTACTTTTTTATGTGTACTGCTCTGTAATTTGGGTGTCTGTTAACAAATTCCTTTGTTTTTACTTATACTGGGGTCGTCTGCAAAGTCAGGCGGCAGCATTGTGTACGTTTTTATGTAATGCGGTCCACTCAGACCTCTAGGGCCACCGTCCTTTCCATATTTGTGTCTCTGCATTCAGGAAGCAGGACTAGAGTTTGAGCTGAAGAAACCTGTAAGTGTGGGGCAGTGTAAGAAAAACAAGTTTTTGATTCAGGTTGAGTATATTTTGCTTTGGAATAGTTTTACGTTAAAATGTATACAGTGGAGTAGAGATGAATAAATAGTATCTACTCTTGCTATGTTCAGATAGTGAACTAGAATGTGGATTTTTTTTTTTTTTTATCCTCACCCGAAGACTCTTTTCCATTTTTTGTTCAGGTAGAGTGGGAGGGAGAGAGAGGAACAGAGAGAGAGAGAGAAACATCGATGTGAAAGGAACACATCGAGTGGCTGCCACCTGCACAACCGACCAGGGCCAGGGACAAACTGCAACCGAGGTACGCGCCCTTAGCGGGAACCGAACCTGGGTCTCTCAGGACCGCAGGCCGATGCTCTAACCGCTGAGCCAAACCGGCCAGGGCAGAATGTGGATTTTTTTTAGCTCTGTTTTCCAGATGCTGTGAAAGTTAACAATTAGTATAACTAATAAAGGTCAATGGAGGCTGAAATGGACTAAGACTGAATCAGAAATATTTGTACTTGCAACAAATGGAAATGAATTAGTTTTTTCTCATATTAGTGTGAGAACTGGACTGCAAAGGTGGGACCCCTCCCTCCTAGAAAGGAGATTGGGATTAGTAGGATCAGAATTTCATGAAGGGCTTCCTTCTGGGACACTGACCGGAAGAGATCTGGAGCTTGCTGGAGGACCGAGGTTGGAAAAGCTACAACTGGTTTATGGTCTTCAGTCTTCAGGGATCCTCTTGAGCATCTCTCTCCGAAGGTGTATCTCTCATGAGTGTTTGTTTCCCTGTTGGGGCAGAAGAGGGGTTGGGGTGCAGGAGCAGACATTGCTTCCCTAGAGTCCCTCTTTCTGCTTCAGGTGAGTCTGGTGCACAGCTTTGCTCCTCAGACCAGCAACTGTCTCCAGCTACTCTGTCCCTTGCTTATTGAATTGACCCATAGAGGGTACTTTGTGTTTCTGTAGAAGGTTGCTAGACGGGAAAATTGAAAGTTGTATATGTCCTTAAGGCTTGTGCTTTAGCCTTTCCTTCTTGTGACTTGACTGTGGTATGACTCACTTTGCTTCTCCTTTCTGGTCTTGACACTTCTGAGGAGTCATCTCTTTGGCCTGGGTTTTCATCAGGGAGCTTAATCAAGCCTAGACACACGTCTGAGCAGGTTCCTTGTAGCACAGACCACAACTTGGAACAGGAGAAGTGGGTTTCAACTTGGACTCCATGGGAGAGTGCAGTAAGGAAGGGAATTCTAGGTCCCTGGGCCTTCTAGAGTTTTTTATTCTGATTTTTTTTTTTTTAAATCTTCACCCAAGGATATTTTTCTATTTATCTTCAGGTAGAGTGGGACGGAGGGAGGTAGAGGGAGAGAGAGAAACACCAACAAGAGAGAGACACATCAACTGGTTGCATTCCGCACAACCCTGAACAGGGCTGGGGACAAACCATCACCGAGGTACGTGCCCTTGACCGGAATCGAACCCGCGATTCATTGATCCCGGGCAGACACTCTAACCACTGAGCCAAACCGGTCAGGGCTCTATTCTGATTTTATCAGCTTCAGGTATTCTACTTGGAAGCAACATTAATTAGCTTTGGCTCACACAAGCAAAAAGAGGATTTGTTGAAGGACATGGGGTGGCTCAGACTGGAAAGACAAGCTGATGTGCTCGTCTTCAGAAAGGACTGGAGCCAGAGCAACCCACCCTCTTGCGGGCAGGGCCCTCTTGGGGATGAATAAAGATCCATATTCAGTTCCTGCTTCTATCTGCTCAGAAGTCCAATTCGAGGGAGAGAAGCCAAACTGACCAGGCGCGGGTCAGGGAGGGTGCCTTGACCAACAGTCCATCCAGGCCCAGTCCTGAGGAGAGAGGTGGCTCCCCTGGGCTGCCGTGACTCGAAGGAGAAGACAGGAACAGGAGGGCCCTCTGCCTGCTCCCAGGAACAACTGGGACAGCATCAGACTGGCACCTGATACTGCTGTCAGAGGGCACTTTGTGTGTCAGGGTCCAAGGCTTTTTGGTATTTTTATGTTGAAGGCTGACCCCACTGAACATTCTTCATCAGTGAATCACTATTTGTGCAAGAATGTGTATTTTGAGGGATCATTCCTGTGTAAAGGTTTTTCCCAAGGATTTCTCTCGATCTAACCTGTGCACAGAGAAGGGTGGGGAAGGTGTTCAGAATGCCACCGGCAGAGAGCAGCTGAAGGTGATGTCTGTTACACGTGCATGCTTTCCTGTGCCGTGTGCGAGAGCAGAGCCGTCTGGGGGGTGGCCTTTTAGAAATCCTGGTATGGAAAAGGGTTGGGAGTTTGTTACCAGAGCTAGAGGGACAGTTTTTTTTAGCTTCTTTGGTTAGACTGGCTTAGAAACTGCCCACGGTCACTGAGAGCTGACCAAGGTTGCATGTGTGTGTTGGGAGTGATGTCTCCATGCCTTGTGTGTATGGAGACATCACTTCCTGTCCACGTCACTGCCGCCTCCCCAGCAGCCCTGTGTGCAGAGCCAGGTACTCTGTTAACTGGCTCTTCTCCCTTCTTGCCAGGTACTGCCGATGGTGCCCGTTGTCAGCACTGTTCAGCGTGTGCCAGGCTGATCCATGCTCACTTTCCGCGATGGCAGCAAGGTGACTGCAGCTGAGGATGACCCTGACTGACAGGCTGCGTGAGAAGATATCTCAGGCCTTCTACAACCATGGGCTGCTCTGTGCATCCTACCCCATTCCCATCATTCTCTTCACGGGGCTCTGCATCTTAGCCTGCTGGTATGTTTCCGAGTTGCTCTGGATGTGGTGGGCTTGTGTCTTGGGACAGTAGTTTCCCAATTCTGACTGCTCTGTGGCCCTTAGCCTGTGTGTGCTTTTTTTTTTTTAAATCCTCACCCGAGGATATTTTTCTTTTTTTTTTTTTTTCAGACAGAGTGGGAAGGAGAGAGAGAGAAACATTGATATGAGAGAGACACTGACTGGTTGCCTCCTGCATGACCCCAACTGGGACCAGGGACTAAACTGCAACAGAAGTATGTGACCTTGACCAGAATCGAACCTGCAACTCTTTGGTCCATGGGTCGACGCTCTAACTGCCAAGCCACATTGGCCAGGGCAGCCTGTGCGTGCTTTTTATACAATGGAACTTGAGGCTCATTGGAGCTGCTGAATGGAGAGCCCTAGTCCTGGGGTATTTAGCCACTAAACTAAAATAGTCCAGGCTGGTCCTCACTTAGTGAGACATCAGATTTGTTATATCACTAATAACCTATTTCAAAATAATGTTTTTTTTGTTGTTGTTTTTTATCCTCACCTGAGGACATTTTTCCATTTTTTGTTCAGATAGAGCAGGAGGGAGAGAGAGGAAGAGAGAGAGAGAGAGAGAAACATCGATGTGAAAGGGACACATCAAGTGGTTGCCACCCACACGAACCAGCAGGGCCGGGGACAAACTGCAACCAAGGTACGTGCCCTTAGCGGGAACCGAACCCAGGTCTCTCTAGACCGCAGGCCGATACTCTAACTGCTGAGCCAAACCAGCCAGGGCTCAAAATAATGTTTAAACACTTCTAAGAAACCACAAGATAATTGAAAGGCATAGTTTTTAAATTTTTCTTCTCAGGCCCTGGCTGGTTTGGCTCAGCAGTTAGAGCGTCTGCCTGCAGTACAGAGAGACCCGGGTTCAGTTCCCGCTAAGGGCACGTACCTCGGTTGCAGTTTGTCCCTGGCCCTGGTTGGTCGTGCGGGTGGCAGCCACTTGATGTGTCCCTTTCACATCGATGTTTCTCTCTCTCTTCCTCTCTCTCCCTCCTGCTCTATCTGAACAAAAAATGGAAAAATGTCCTCGGGTGAGGATAAAAAAAAAAAATTTTTCCTTCTCAAGGTCCATTTGGACATTTCCTTGGACACGCTCTTGCAGGTTTGAGGACGTTCCTCAGGGACTTGGTTCTCTGCTCCCAGTCATCTTCTGTGTTCTTGGAGCCTCCTCCTGACTGCTGATTCTTGGGCCTGCTGTGCTCACCAAGGACTGTTGTGAGAGCTGTAGCTGCCCATGGTCATGTCTGTCTTTTCGTCACAGGGCCTGTAGAATGATGGCATTATGAAAGGAGAGGCTTTAAAATTCTGGCATTCAGGAAAGGAGCCCTCCTACCTTAGTATCCTTGTGTCTGGAAAGGATTCTGGTTTGTAGATACATCTAACGTTTGTGGATGTTTTCAGTGCTGGAAAGAGGATGCTTAGGACTGAACTCACTGTTCCGTTTGGTTCTTAAGGATCTAGGTTCTTCCCCAATTAGGACTAAAAACATGAGCATCACTCATTGGGAATTTCTTGCTGGTGCTTCAGGTATCTGTTAAATCTCTCATTGGTCCGGCTGGTGTGGCTCAGTGGTTGAATGTTGACCCATGCACCAAGAGGTCACCAGTTCGATTCCCGGTCATGACACATGCCCAGTGAGGTGCATGCAGGAGGCAGCCAATGTTCTCTCTCATCGATGTTTCTATCTCTCTCTCCTTCTCACTTCCTCTCTCTCTAAAATCAAAAAATGAAAAAAAAATGTCTCATTGGTCCTCATAATAACCTTGGGAAGTGGTGCAGGTAAATCTCCATTCAGACGGTTAGAGACTTGTCTGGTCTGCACAGTTAAAGAGTAGGGCAGTGGGACACTGGTGCCTGCATCATAGCATTCTGTCGCCCCGGCTCTCATCACCCTGGCTCAGCGCATTTGTACTGACGTGTAAACTTGGTTAAGTTGTGTTGTACGGATAAGGTCTGGGAGCCACATCCTGAGAACCACTAGGCTGTGTCTTTCTTGAGAATTTCTTTGATATTCTACCACGTCTCCGTTAAAAGTGTTTTTATTCCAATTTCTGGAGCAGTAATTTGTGGTGGACTCAAGATTACTATCACTTTTACTGCCTTTTGTTGGGGTGAATCCAGCTCCCCTCCACTAAATCCTCAGTGGCCTCTTTGTATATGCCTTTGCACCTGGGAGGTGGTGAGGTCAGTGTGTGGTGGACGAGGACCTGAGCTGAGCTTGTGTGTAGTCTGGGCAGTTTAAGTTGAAGAAGCGGCTGTTGTGATTCCCCTTCCACAAAGGCAACGCTGGCTGAAGGAAGGGAAGGATGTTTCCTTTTTGCGATTCACCTTCTGGAGGTTGGGTGTTCCCAGCTGGGGCCAGGCAGCGACCGCAAGGGAATGCAGGCTGCGTGCAGCAGCTGCCTGGTTAACAGCTGTCTTATCTTTGAATGAATAATTTGATATTACACATGTATTTCAAAACAGACTGTCCTCGGACATATGATATGAGGCTTCTGCTGAGGAAACTATGAGATGGCCAAGGTCTCAAGAATGAGGACACTTCCTCGAGTCAGGGTGAATTAGAATTGGGTGGAGGGGTGGGGAAGAGACAGCTGTTAACAATCCGTACAGCCCAGCTGCAGCCGAGCCTGCCTGATATCCCACAGGTGCTCTTGGCCGAACATCAGTCCTGAGGAGGGTGGGTGAGGCTCAGGGTGGGACAGGGCTGATGGGAAGGAAGGGAAGACTATCTTCATCGACCACTGGTTTATAGGACCTCAGGTGCTTCCACACTCAGTGTTTCGTGCTGTTGCCTCACGTCCTTGGAGGTACTTGTCATTCCCTAGTTCTGTGAAAGGTGATGAAACCAGCGTGGAGAGCGAGGAGGTAGAAGGTGAAGCAACAGGCAGATCCTTGTGCACATCAGAGCCTGCACCGTTTCCACGTTAGCACCGCGCTAGGAACTCTGGGGGGCACTGTTCGGTGCTGGTACCATTCGCCTGAGTTTGCTCCTTGAACCGGAAGCCTGAGGCAGAGGATCTTGGCAGGACATGCAGACAGGGCAGAGAGGCTCCATGGGACAAAAGTGTGGAGGGAGCTTCAGGTTGGGTTTCCGAGCCCTCAGTGAAGATGGCTGTGGTATGTGCCACGTGCTGTGAAGCAGAGAGGTCCCTCCCCTCAAACCCACAGTCTCAGCCTGAGACACAGTGGCAGTGCCATTGGATATCGTGTGTAGCGGATGTGACCTGGCCTTGGTGCAAAGGGCACAGTGTCAGGGAGGCCTCTGGAGAGCACCTGGTGAGGCTCTGCAGAAGGAGGGAGTGGTGCTATCCTCACCTCCTCCTATGTGCGGGCGTGGTCACTCAGCTCACAGCCCCCACAAGAGGACAGGGAGGGTCATACCCTGGCATGCCCCTCCCATCACCTGCTGTCTCCCTTGGACCCACTGTCTGACAGCTCCGTTTTCCTCATTTTTGTAGTCACCCTGTTTTTCTTTTTATTTTTTTTAATCCTCACCTGAGGACATTTTTCCATTTTTTGTTCAGGTAGAGTGGGTGGGAGGGAGGGGGAGAGAGAGAGAGAGAGAGAGAGAGAGAGAGAGAGAGAGAGAGAGAGAGAAACATCAACGCGAAAGGGACACATCGAGTGGCTGCCACCCACATGACCAACCAGGGCCGGGGACAAACCACAACCGAGGTACATGCCCTTAGTGGGAACCAAACCCGGGTTTTCTTGGGACTGCAGGCCGATCCTCCAACCGCTGAGTCAAACTGGCCAGGGCGTCACCCTGTTTTTCTTCTAATTGAAAAACCAACCTGTACTGGCACATTCCTTTTTTTTTTTTTTTTTTGGTACGTGCCCCTAGGTGGAACCAAACCTGGAACTCCTTGGTCCACAGGCCAACACTCCAACCACCGAGCCAAACCGGCCAGGGCACGTTCTTTTTTTTTAAAATGTTTTTATTGATTTTTTTTTTTTGAGAGAAAGGAAGGGAGAGAGAGATAGAAACATCGCTGTGAGAAACATCAATCAGCTGCCTCCTGAATGCCCCCCACTGGAGATGGAGCCCGCAACCTGGGCATGTGCCCTGACTGGGAATCAAGCTGGGATCTCTCAGTCCATGAGACGATGCTCAATCCTCTGAGCCACACTGGCTGGGCTTAAACATTTTTTTTTGTTTTTTTTGTGGTGCGTGCCCCTAGCAGGAACCGAACCCAAGAGACTCTGGTCCGCAGGCTGACGCTCAACCGCTGAGCCAAACTAGCCAGGGCTGGGCTTAAAGGATTTTTTTTTTTAACTTTTCTTAAAATCTGATTGGCTTAGGAAAAATTTTCCAAGGCTAGATGAAGTCTCTCAGCCTCCAAAGACAATAAAGTTGTATCGGAGAATCCACAGATTCTGGGCCTTCATGGCCGAGAGACCAGGGATCGTGGGCCCAGGACACAAGCCTTGCTCTCCTCTTCTACCGGGGAAGCTTTTCTGTCCAGAGAGCTCCCCTCTGCCAGAGCCTCGGGCTGCCTGCAGAAACTGTGTGGGTCATAGACAGCTCTTAGTTTTATTAGATACTTAGGTACCACTTACTTGCCCACCTTTTATTATTCCTGGAATGAGACTTGTTCAGCTTGAACCCAGGTCTGCTGCCATGATATCCCTGTTCACATCTGGCAGCCACCTGAGCTGTAGTCCCCCTTCGTCCCCACTGCATTCCCTGGGAGCAGTGAGTGCTCTTTCCTCTGGGAAAAGCTGATGAAACCTGTAGCAGGTAGGTGTTATTGTAGGAAGTGCCTGTTTGGTCACTAGGACCCAAGGTGTGACCCAGCAGCAGCCCAGCAAGACAGAGGGTGCTGTTGCCCCTGCCCTGCCCTGGGAAGTGGTAGGTATACCATGGGGCAAAGGAGGTGCCTGGGAGCCAGGCTAGCTGGACTCCCCTAGGCGCAGGTCAGAGGCTAATCGGGTCTTCAGGTCTCTTGCAATTCCACAACCAGCGGCTCATGGTTAGAGAAGATGGGTTCTAACTTGGAGAGCAGGTTAGAATTATGATGAGGCCATTGCGAACCTGCTGAAGGATAATCCTGCAGCCTGCGTGGTGTTCGGAAACAGACTTGGCCCCTCTGCTGCTCCTCTTTCTAGGGAGGAAACCAGGACCTTCAGGCCGAGGCTGGACATCTCAGTTGCGGTGCCCCTCCACTTCTCAGCCTTTCTCCCTTGTTTGCCCACAGCTTTCCCCCCAGTCACCATGGGGTGCATACAGCAGGGATTGTGTGACTGGTTCCCTCTCTTTGTGCCCCCGTGGCCACTCTCTAGACACATTTATATTCTCTTTTTGTGAACAAGAAAGAGATCTGAGTAACTGAAGCACTGTCTGCGCCTGCACCTTGGAGAGCCAGGCTGGATAGCTGAGAACAAAGTCCCAAAGCACCACTGACCTCTGGCCAGAGCCTAGACTCGCTGCCCTGGTCAGCATTTCAGAGCCAGGGACTCCCCCAGCACACATTACCCCTGGCCTCACAAACACACTTGGAAGAAGCTCGGAAAGGCCTGGAGATTGAAGACTCCTTTCCCACCCAGAATTTCCTCAACAGAGGAGAGATCAGGTCTCAGAAACCTCCCCTTCCAGTCTTCATGACCCCACCCCTAGTCCTTTACTAGGGAAGAGAGAAAGCACCTCCCACCCCTGATGTTCCCAGGGAGGTGTCTCATGCAGCATCTTTTCTGAGTGTCATTTCTGTGGTTGCTCTTTCTGTCTGTCTACAGTGTCTCCTCAGTCCCCCATGACAGATGACAGGGACTGAGGATGTGAGGAGATGCAGAGCCAAGACCAGCTATGGAGTTTGTGGGACTCAGGGTGACATGAAAACACGGAGCTGCTTATTCACTTGGATGGCTGCCCCTGCTGAAAGCCCACCAGACGTGCTATGGCACTGCCAGCCTGGGATGGGGGAGGGCGGTCACCTCACCCTGCCCTAGAACACAGCTGATCCCAACTGTCCTTGTTACATTCAGGCCCCTGCCAGGTGGAGCAGCACATGGGATCCCTGGACAGGGAGCAGAAGGCCAGGTCCTGGGATGCGTGGAGCAGGGGAGCTGGTGGTCAAGAACCTGCCTCCAGGAGGAGGGACCACATGTGGACCTCACTCCACACCCTCAGCACGTGCTCCATGGTGGTGGACTGCACTTAAAAACACAAGTGCAAGACGAATCTCAGAGTTTCCATTCAGCTGTGCCGAACAGTAAACCTCAAGTGCCAGTCCCTTTTGAATATGGGTCTAGTGTAGACACACACACAGGAAAGAAGAAGGGCATCAAAGTGACACCAACTACAACAGATCAACTGTTGTAGACCAGTGAGACAAACCAGACTCAGACTCCGAACTGGGTTCAAATTAAGAGAGCCTTATTAGCCATGCGGCGACTGTCCCATCCTACACAGAGGAGACAGCAGCCCTGAGCTCAGGGGCAGGGCTGCTTATATAGTTGTCTTAGCCCCTGTTACGGAATTTGGGTGAAGGGTATGCAAGCAAGCAAGCACGTACAGAAGCAGATATTTGCAGTTAACTGTTATGCCTGAGGGAGCAAAGCAATGCTCCCTATGTTATCTATACAATGCAGTGGTTATCTATTAGCAGCTAGTTCCTGCCATTCCCTTAAAATCCAGGGGGTAAGGTCATGTGTTTGTCCTTTACACAACCATGGAGGAATTGAGGAACAAAAATATAAGAGGTACAGAAACAACCAAGTGGCATGCATAAGTAAATCCTTCCTTATCAGTAATCACATTAAATGTAAATGGATTAAACTCTCTTATTGAAAGACAGAGTTTTGCAGATTAGATTAAAGTGACAGAATCCGTCCAGCGGGTGTGGCTCAGTGGTTGAGCGTGGACCCATGCGCCAAGAGGTCACCGGTTTGATTCCTGGTCAGGACACATGCCTAGGTTGTGGGTCCAATACCTAGTGGGGGGCATGCAGGAGGCGGCCAGTCATTGTCCTCTCTCAATGATGTTTCCATCTCTCTCTCCCTCTCACTCTAAAATCAATAAAGGAAAAAAAAATTTTTTTAAATAAATAAAGTGACAGAATCCATCTATATGCTGTATATAAGAAACTTTAGATATAAGAACTCAAAGAGGTTGAAAGTAAAGGGATGGAAAACCATAACCAAGAGAGAGCTGGAATGGCTATATCATTACCTGACAATTTTAAAAAGCTCATGTGACAAAGAAGGACATTATACGTTCTGACGTGAGTTAAGGAACTCTGGTCTAGCTGGCTTCGGTTTCCTTCAGCACTGAAGTTTGCGGTTCCAGTGCTCTGGACGTTGGTGCGGTCCCAGCAGGGAGGGTCCAGGGCAGCCACAGCGGCTCCCGTGTCACTGCCGCCTCAGCACAGTCTGTCGCCCATCTCGTCCTAACTCGCCTCTCCTTTTGTTCACCCCAGCTACCCGCTGCTGAAACTCCCCTTGCCGGGAACAGGACCTGTGGAGTTCACCACTCCTGTGAAGGACTACTCGCCGCCGCCTGTGGCCTCTGCCCACAGACCAGGAGAGCCTAGTGAGCAGCCGGAGTGGGTAGGTGCTCGGCGTGTCTCTGCGGAGAGCGCTGGGGGTTGGCTGAGGCGGGCTGAGGCGGGGGCGAGTGAGAGCTTTTGATTGGTGAATACATGACTTGAACAGCTTTACAAAGAAATATTTAGTTATGTATTTAATGAATAACCAGCTTTTTAAAAAAATATGTTTTTATGAATTTTTTTTTAGAGAGAGAGAGATAGAAACATCCATGTGAGATAACATCTATCAGCTGCCTCCTGCACGCCCCCTACCGGCGATTAAGCCCGAATCGAACCCGGACCTCTCAGTCTATGGGAGGACGCTCAGTCCACTGAGCCACACTGCCTGGGCAATGAATAACCTGCTTTGAAAGGAAACATCAAGTAACACAGAAGTCTGACTGTTCTGGAAAAACTGGGTCCATGATTGTCGTAACTGAGTCCACTTGGGTCTGGGTTCATAACCTGGGCTGCTCACACACTGTGCCCAGATGGCGGGCAGTGCCCTAGCAAACAGGCGGTCTTCTCCTTGCCCCAAGTGGCCATGAGAACCACTGGACATCCCTAGAGAATGTTCTATCATCAGAGTCCCAACACCATCTAATATTTTCAGTGTGCACCTAATTTTTCCAGATCTGTTCAGCGGTTCTCAACCTGTGGGTTGCAACCCCTTTGAGAATCTAACGACCCTTTCACAGGGGTCGCCTAAGATTATCGGAAAACACATATTTCCGATGGCAATTCATAATAGTAGCAAAATTACAGGTATGAAGTAGCAACGAAAATAATTTTATGGTTGGGGGTCACCACAACACGAGGAACTGTATTAAAGGGTCGCGGCATTAGGAAGGTTGAGAACCACTGTGTTAAGTTCTATTTTATCCTCAAATTCATTCAGGTAAAAAGTGCAGGGTTGTTTTTTAATCTCTTCTACGGTTTAGGAATCTGGGGCTCAGCATGACCAAGTGCCCAGTGATTAAGTTTACATGGGTTCAGCACTGGATTGGGACTCCAGGTCTCCTGGCTCTAAGCACACTGCTGCTTCAGGACCATACTGTCTGTCCTCAGTTGACTGTCTCTGAGCTGAACACTGACGTAAATGAGAAAAAAGCACTCTCTTCACTAAGGGTCTCAGGTACAGGACACAACTCATCATAACTCCAGACTCATTATTTGGAAATCTTACAAGCATGATTAGCTCGTCTAAACCTTGACCTGTGAAGTAATGGAGGGAAGAGTCCTTCCCTCATGTGTTGCACTTTGGTCCCATGGATTGATGCTGAACTCGCCGAATCTGTTGTTGAGGAACCCAAAGCTTATCCTTCCCAACCTTCTCTCTGACACCGATTGCACATTCCTTTCTGTTTAATTTCAAGTGATGTAGCAACCAGGTAACTTGTTATAAACTTGGCTCTACTGTTGTTGACATAGAGACATAACTGGTAAGAGGTATGTGTTAAACTACACCTGGTGTCCACAGGAAGTATGCGATTGGCCTTAATGGTACTCAGGAAGGTCAGAGAGAGCCAGTCTGATGCTGGCAGAAGCCAGTTATATATATATATATTTTTTTTATCCTCACCCGAGGACATTTTTCAATATTTTGTTCAGATAGAGTGGGAGGGAGAGAGAGAGAAACATCGACATGAAAGCGACACATCGAGTGGTTGCCACCCACACGACCCAACCAGGGCCGGGGACAAACTGCAACCGAGGTACATGCCCTTAGCGGGAACTGAACCTGGGTCTCTCCGGACTGCAGGCCGATGCTCTAACCGCTGAGCCAAACCGGCCAGGGCCAGAAGCCAGTTATATAACTTCAGGCCCCAGCTGGACTATCAGCTCATCACGGGACTTCCTTGATTCAAAACTTTTACTATCGTTAACCTCTTTTTTTTTTTTTTTGATATTCTGTTCAGATAGAGTGGGAGAGAGAGAGAGAAACATCGACGTGAAAGGGACACATCGAGTGGTTGCCAACCTCACAACCCATCCAGGGCCGGGGACAAACTGCAACCGAGGTACATGCCCTTAGCAGGAACCAAACCCCGGTCTCTCTGGACCACAGGTCGACGCTCTAACCGCTGAGCCAAACTGTCCAGGGCTCGTTAACCTCTTGATGCAGTGTCACGGAAGTAATGGTTCCCAGTCACGAGGTAGTCTGTATTTGTGCATATTCTCTGACTAGTAGAGTTCACAGCCTGATGGTACAGAATAGATGGGTTTTTTTTTCCTCTACTCGCAAGGAGGTAGAATGTATAACTCCACCTCCTCGAGTGTGGACTGTGCGCAGTGACTCCTTCTTAAAGTGCTGTATGGAGCGGGGGGAGAAGCACATTATAGTGGAGAACCTGGCAGACCCCGCCTCAGCAAGCTGATCAAGGTCAACATCACCAGCGACAAATCAAGTTGATTACCCTTGATGTGTGACAAGAAGGGCACTTTACTGTGGTCTTTCTCCCCAAAACTCATAACTCCAATCTGATCATGAGAAAAACATCAGATGAATCCCTTTTGAGGGGTTCTGTATAGTACCTGACCAGCACTCCTCAAAACTGTCAAGGTCATCAGAAACAAGGCAAGTCTGAGAAACTCAGCCAAGGTGAACCTCAGGAGACACCATCTAAATATGGGGGGGCAAAAGCAGGCTTACAGTTGAGTGCAAAACATAGTTTAAAAAAAACACAGTTCATGCTTGTATTACTAATTACTAATGATTGTATTATTATTATTATTAACCTACTTTTGCCCACCCCTGTATAATGCAGTATCCTGGATGGGGTCTTGGCAGAGAAGAAGGACATTAGGTAAAAACTAAGGAAATCTGGTTCCTTAGAGGCAGGTTCTCAGACTTTCTGTTTTGGGTAACCTGGACAGTTCTGAGGCATGCGGGTCAGGGGTTTTGTCAAGCGCGCTCAGGTTGGATTTGTCTGTTTTTCTCTAGATGGGACAGCACTTATGGTTGTTTGAAGGAAGGCTATAGAGGTGAAGTGTCATTCTTTCCACACCCATCAGTTGCCTCAATTATTTTTAAAATTTCTGTACACTAAAGTTCAGTCTTGTTCTCTCAGGTTTTAAAAAGCCTTTCTAATAAATGTAGAGAAATCTCACGTGGTTTTCGTTTGCATTCCCCACGTGACTAATGTCAGTGCTCACTGTATTTGAATATCTTCCATTGTGAAGTGTGTGTTTGTGTTTGTCCATTTTGAATTGAGTTGTTTTGATTTATTTTATTGAATTGTAATTGTTTCTGTGTGCTGGGATTACTGTCTCCTTCTCCCTTTGGCTGAGGTGTCCTGTCCCCACAGTGGGATGGTGGCTGCACCCTGCAGTGCGCCTTACATGTCCTCCCGAGAGGACTCTCTCTTTTTTTTTTATCCTCACCCGAGGACATTTTTCCATTTTTTGTTCAGGTAGAGTGGGAGGGAGAGAGAGGAACAGAGAGAGAGAGAGAAACATCGATGTGAAAGGGACACATCGAGTGGCTGCCACCCGCACAACCAACCAGGGCTGGGGACAAACTGCAACCGAGGTACATGCCCTTAGCGAGAACCGAACCCGGGTCTCTCTGGACCGCAGGCCGACGCTCTAACCGCTGAGCCAAACCGGCCAGGGCCCGAGAGGACTCTCAACTCTGCCAGGCCCTGGTGCCTTGAGTTATGCAGTCACTGTGATCAGTGGCCTTATGGACCTGGGGGAGGGCAGATCCCTCTGGGAAGAGGGACGTTTTCCCAAGGGGAAGAAAAGAGCAAAGCAGAGAAGGCAGACTTTCCATTTCCCAGGTGTGTGACCTTGGGCATGTCACTTAACACCTTTGCACCTTAGTTTCCACATTCTGAAAGTGGGGACAGTAATTACACCTACATTATATGTTGTCATAGAGCTAAAGAATGCAAAGGTTTAGTGCAGTGCCTGGCCCATCGTGTGCATCGGTTAATCGGACACAGGATTGTGGTTATCACCATTGTCGTCATTGTCTTTGACCAAATCTGGCCAAAGCAGAGAGACAGAGGACAAAGGTGCTTGCACTGCGTTGGGGTTTGCACCAGGCATGCGCTCCCTCCTGTCCTTTACCCCTCAGCTCAGGTCACCCTCCAGCAAGCCTTCCCCAGTTCTCTTGCAGATGGGCCCTGCTTCTCCTTCGTGCTCTGTATTTCGACCCGGTTGAAATCATGTTTCATTCAAATTTGTATAGTCTGATGTTTTGCATATAGTGGGTGCTCAAGAAAGGTTTGTTGAATAAAGAAACAGCACAACTTATTTAGGAGATGGACTCTGACGTGAGGCATGTTCTCGGGGCATGGTAGGCGACGAAGCAGATGAGACCAGTCGAATGCTAGGCCATGGAGTTGAAACTTGATTAATTCTGCAGGCAGTGGGAAGCCATTCCCTTACAGGCAAATCCATGGTGAAAGTGATAGTAACTTGGAGACCAAGGTGACCATGCAGCCGAGGTGGGGGTGGATGTTGGAGGGAGGAGGGAAGGATCTTAAGGAGACACAGTGATATAATGAGATATAGCTCACATGTTTTTGGCAGGACACTGCTGGATGGTTGTGTGTGTTGTTTTGTGTGGTCCTTACAGTGATCCGGTGAGGTCAGAGATTCCAGTCTCATTTCCCTCAGTGAGTCAAGGCCTGAGGCCTAGAGAGTGGAGAGACCTGTGTCCAAGGCACACAGTGGGGGTGGAGCAAGAGCTGGAACCCAGGTGGGTCCCTTGAGCCTGCCATGGGCGGGAGGACAAGGACCAGGAGCCCTGTGTTCCAGAAGAGCCGAGTCGCAGGGCTCCTCTGTATTGTGTGTGTCAGTGTAAAGGTATAATGCCTGGAGCTCTAGCTTACTCTGTAAATATGAAGAAAGGATTGTGTATTAGAAAAAGCAAAACGAGCCTGAGGTCTTCTGTACTGGCCTGGCTCCCCTTGACCAGGTTATCATGAAACCTGAACTTCACTCTGCGCCCTGCCTGGCTGGTCTTCCAGTGTTTGTGTGACTGTCTGAGCCTGGCCGCAGGGTTTCCAAGGAGCCTTGGGCAGGGGCCTGATTATGTGAACACTGGTGGCCAGAGACCCCAGGACTCCTCAGGACCTCAGTGTCCCTCCTGCGCTGCTGGTGCTGGGTTTTCCCAGCCCATCCTGTTCTCCCTGGGAACTCAACGTGGTTTAGAACTACCCAGGCAGGTAGGCTGGAGACAGACCTGGGAGTGGGGCAGCCCTGAGCTTTAATTTTGCCTCTGCTGCCTGTTAGCCTTGTGCCCTTGGACACATCCTTTTATCTCTCTGAACCTTGGTGTTCTTATCTGGGTCTTCTGGCTCAGGGTCTCTCTCAGGCTGTGGTCAAGGTGTCAGCCAAGGCTGCAGTCATCTAAAGTCTGACAGGGAGGATCTGCTTCCAGGCTTGCACAGCGCCGGCCAGGATCGGCCCCTCGCAGGCCGTGGGACGAAGCACTCTGGTCCTCACTGGGTGCTGGCTGGAGGTCCCCTCAATTCCTTGCCGTGTGGACCGTTCTGGAGTAGTTCACGATACCGACCTCTTTGGAGTGGTGGTTCCAAAAGGGTGGTGGGGTGAAGGAAGACAGCTTATTTTTTCTTCCACCTTTTTTTGTTGTGGCAAAGTACACACCACATAAAATATAGCTTCTTAACCATTTTTACGTGTACAGTTCAGTGGTATTAAATGCATTCATATTGTTGTGTAACCATCACCATCATCTGCCCTCCATAAATCTTTTCATCTTGTAAAACAGAAACTCTGTCCACTACACAGTGACTCCCGGTCGTCCCCTCCACTCAGCCCCTGGCAGCCACCCTTCTACTTCCTGTCTCGGTGAACTTGACTGCTCTGGCATCTCCTATAAGTGGAATCATATAGCATCTGTCCTTTTGTGACTGGCTTATTTAACTTAGTATATGTCATCAAGGGTCATAGTCTTTTGTAAACTAATTTCAAAAGTGACATCAGTTTTGCTGTATTCTATTTGTCAGAAGCAAGTCACCAGGTCCTGCCCCCTCTCAACAGGGATTAGACATGGGCCTGAGCCCCAAGAGGTGGGGTCATCAGGGCCATGTTAGAAGACCACCTGCCACAACTTCCATCTAATGAGGGGTCTTCCCTCTGTGCCCAGGGTCATCGGGACCCTGCTGGCCTCCAGCTTCCTGTCACCCACTGTAGCTAGCTACCACAGGTTTTCTCTGTTTCCATGTCTGTGTCTCACTTGAATATCAAGTCGGGATCATGGTGAGCCCCGCATAGCGAGTGGTAGCCCCTTCCCACACCCCAGCCACCACACAGTGCCTTCCCGCTTCCCAGGCTGTCTGGTACCAAGGCCTGTGAACCGCGCCCCCAGGGAGCAGCCCCCAGCCAGTACTTGCAGCTCAGACAGTTGCTTCTGGTAGTTCCTTTGCCCAGGGGACCAGACAGCCTTCACTTGCTGTGTGTTCAGCATCTTTTTTTTTTTATCCTCACCCGAGGATATTTTTCCATTTTTGTACAGAGTGGGAGGGAGAGAGAGAGAGAGAGACATCGACGTGAAGGGACACATCGAGTGGCTGCCACCCGCACGACCAACCAGGGCCGGGGACAAACTGCAACTGAAGTACGCGCCCTTAGCGGGAACCCAACCCGGGTCTCTCCGGACCGCAGGCCGACGCTCTAACCGCTGAGCCAAACCGGCCAGGGCGTGTTCAGCATCTTGACCCCTGCTGGTGTGATAACCTGGAGCAGGGCAGATGGAGTGGCCTTTCCTCTGCACGCCTACCCTGGGGGCTGCTCCCTACCGCACAGGCGAGAGACGGCCCCTGCCCCTCGGCTTGCACTGCGCTGCTCCGCGTCAAGGCTGTGGCCGTCTTTCTGAGTCTCCAGCAGGTGACACTGACTCTGGGGGAGTCTTCCAGAGCACAGCTTTTATCAGGTCACTCTCCATCTCAGAGACACCTGGGGACTCTGTCAGCTGGTTAAAATACAAGCTCAGCCCTGGCCGGTTTGGCTCAGCGGTTAGAGCGTCAGCCTGCAGTCCAGAGAGACCCAGGTTCGGTTCCCGCTAAGGGCGCGTACCTCGGTTGCAGTTTGTCCCCGGCCCTGGTTGGGTTGTGTGGGAGGCAGCCACTCGATGTGTCTTTTTCACGTTGATGTTTCTCTCTCTCTCTCCCTCCCACTCTATCTGAACAAAAAAATGGAAAAAATGTCCTCGGGTGAGGATAAAAAAAAAAATACAAGCTCAGTTGAGCATCATCCAAGTCACCTCTTATTTTATTTATTTTATTTTTGTTAATCCTTACGTAAGGATATTTTTCCATTGATTTTTAGATAAAGCAGAAGGGAGGGAGGGAGGGAGAGAGAAAAATTGATGTGAAAGAGACACCTCGATCAGGTGCCTCCCGTGCGACCCTGACCGGGTATGGGGATCAAACCTGTAACCCACGTACATGCTCTTGACTGGGAATGGAACCCATGACCCTTTGGTCAGCAGGTGGGCGCTCTAACTGCTGAGCCACACCAGCCAGGGCCGCCCCTCATTTTAGCTGTAATTTCTGGTACTGCCCAACAGGGCCCCTGTGCTGTCCAGCCATGTGTCCTCTCGGTGAGTCCCTTGCCACTCAGAGGCCCTCCCTGCCCTGCGGCCACCAATCCCTCTCTATCTCGTGGCCCCACTTTTCACCTCCCCAGCTGTAACTCGGCCTTGGCTCATGCAGTACCTCATTTTGGGGGTGCTCCATGACATCCTTCGCTAGAGTTAGTCCTCGCCTTACGCATGGGCACACTTGGGTCACTTAGGTGCCTGCTGTTGCCCTTCAAGGGCAAGTAGCATGTTCTAGGGGGAAGCGTGACGCTCAGTGAGGAGGCCTGAGTTTGCGTCTTCCCTCCACCTGCTTCAGTTATGAAACCCTAGGCAGTCACCTTGCTTGTCACAGAAGAGTTGTGGGGGTCTGCGCTATGATATGTCGTAGCTATTTATTGCTGATATTTCCATTAATACTTATTCCCTGCATGCGCTGTTCATGTACACGTGTGCCAGTGTGGTGTGTGTGTATGTCAGTGTGGTGTGTGTGCCAGTGTGTGTGCTAGTGTGGTATGCGTGTCAGTGTGGTGTGTGCGTGTCAGTGTGGTTGTATGTGGTGTGTGTCAGTGTATGTCTACATTTTGATGCTGCACAGGGGTGTCATTACCCCCATTCATGTTGAGGACATTGATATAAAGAAGTCACAAGCCCTGGCCAGTTTGGCTCAGCAGTTAGAGCATCGGCCTGCGGTCCAGAGAGACCCGGGTTCGGTTCCCGCTAAGGGCACGTACCTCGGCTGCAGTTTTTCCCCGGCCCGGGTTGGTTGTGCGGGTGGCGGCCACTCGATGTGTCCCTTTCACGTCGATGTTTCTTTCTCTCTCTTCCTCTCTCCCTCCTACTCTGTCTGAACAAAAAATGGAAGAAATGTCCTCGGGTGAGGATAAAAAATAAAAAAAAAGAAGTCACAAATGTTTCCAAGGCTGTGCAGTTGAGCTGAGATTTAAAACTAGGTCTTTTGATCTTCAAAACCTGCAAGTGGCAAAAGCAGTGTCGACAGCACAGGTTACATCCCTGGGGGCTCATGGTCTGTTGCAAGGTAGGAAGACACTTCTCATAAAGGCCCAGATGGAAACCGCTGTAGGCTCTGTGGGTCAGTCACATGGTCACTCACTCGGACACTGAGAGCAGCTGTGGACAGTGCCGTGCAGTGCAGAGTAAAACTTTAGTCAGAGAAGCAGGTGCCAGACCTGAGTAGCCTGTGGGCTAGTTTGCTGACCCTGGTCCTCTGGGAAACGTGTAGGAAAGTGGTTCATGATGGGGAAGAGCCCCCATGGGACACCTTTGTCTTTGAAGACCTGTCCCTTGGGCCCCGCAGTGCTCTGCTCAGTCTGAATGTGGGCTCGTGCTGCTCCCTGCTGAGTGAGCTGACCTTTCTGCCCCCATTTCTTCTGCAGTACGTGGGCGCCCCAGTGGCTTACATCCAGCAGATATTTGTGAAGTCCTCAGTGTCTCCCTGGCACAAGAACCTCCTGGCAGTTGATGTATTCCGCTCCCCGCTCTCCCGGGCCTTCCAGCTGGTGGAGGAGATCCGGAACCACGTGCTGAGAGACAGGTGCTCCTCTGAGTGACCCAGCCTCCTTGAACCCCGTCTGTGCTGAAGGTGGGAGGGGTCCTCATTGTAACCCCGTTGAGCCTGCCCACGGCACACATCCTGCGGCCCACTGTGGTGCATTTCCCCTGCACCTGGGCACATGGCCCAGCTAGAGCCCCGAGCTTTGTCCTCGGGTGTCAGAGAAGGTGGCCGCTGGCTGACCCTGTGGTGTGCTGACGAGAGATGGCTCCCTGCGGAGGGATTATGAGATGTGGGTGTAATGGCGGGGACCGTGCTGACCAGAAGCAAGCTCTGCCTGGGGATGTGCTTCTGAAGCCCCAGCCCAGGTGGATCACTGGTGTAAGCTGGCTTCGAGGCTGTTCACCACCAGGTGTTAGTCAGCAAAGGACTTTGACAGGCATTGTGGAAGGAACAGAGCCCTGATCTTCACCCCATCCCCTCTGCCCACTGAACTGGCCATGGTGTTTTAGTGGGTGGGGCTGTGCATGCTCCCAGAACTAGCTTGTCTTTGGAGGTGATCAGCCTTTGGGCTCTAGATGCACTTTGAAGGTCCCATAACGGCACAGCGGTTGTTGAGGACCTGGAAGAACTTTCCCTGGCTGCTCGGACCCTGACTCTTTGAGATACCAGGCATCTGGGAAGTTGATGCCACAGGGGACCCCGTTCATGCAGTGGGCCCACCCTATGTTGGCAGACACAGCAGATGCCTTATGTTGTCTCCTGCACAGCTCTGGGACCAGGAGCCTGGAGGAGGTGTGCCTGCAAGTGACCGACCTGCTGCCAGGCCTCAGGAAGCTCCGAAACCTGCTTCCTGAACATGGGTGCCTGCTGCTGTCCCCTGCCAACTTCTGGCAAAATGACCGGGAACACTTCCATGCCGATCCTGACATCATCGGGACCATACACCAACATGAGCCCAAAACCTTGCAGACCTCAGCCACGCTCAAAGGTACGTTCAGGGAAGGCTTCCCGAGGACCGACCCTCTTTAATGGGTGTTCTGGCAGATTAGGGGTAACTGCTTATATCTGAGGGTGGAGGTGGGGAGGGCCCTTGGTGGCTGTTCAGTACCTGCTGGTTTCTGCCTGCAGATCTGCTGTTTGGTGTCCCCGGGAAGTACAGTGGGATGAGCCTGTACACAAGGAGGAGGATGGCCTCCTACACCATCACCCTGGTCTTCCAGCGCTACCATGCCAAGTAAGGCCGTTGGCGGGGCTCCTGCCTAGCGGGGGTGTATGAGGCTGAGAGCAGTCTCTGTTCTGGTCAGAGTGTCCGGGGGCCCCTGGGAAGGTGCAGTGCCCAGGCGTTCTGCTGAAGTGTTTGTATCCTGGAGACACCGGGTGCTGTCTGGTCACATTGAGTTGGCGCCAGAGTCAGGGACCAAGGCAGGGCTGACAAATATAGTGTCCTGAGGCTCCCCTGGTCTCTCTGGAGCCTAGGCCAGGGGTCCCCAGCTGCTCACCACTGAGCCCCAGGTGGCCTCAGAGTCCTTCCCGGCAGAGTACCGTAGGCGGCGCCCAGCAAGGGTGAGGACACTGGAGATGCCTCCGAATGGCTCTCCAGGGCCCTCAGCAGCAGGAGTGGTGTGCTGGCTCAGGGAAGGGCTGCTCGTACCCCCACAGAGAAGCTCCCTCCAATACAGGGGGAGGGAAGCTTCATTGGACCCCCTCCAGGGATTGTCTGTCCCTTGGACCCTGAGGGACAGTCCATCTACTCCACCCCACTCCGTGACCAGGTTCCTGGGCAGCCTGCGGGCCCGCCTGACGCTCCTGCACCCCAGCCCCAACTGCAGCCTGCGGGCGGAGAACCTGGTCCATGTGCACTTCAAGGAGGAGATCGGTGTCGCTGAGCTCATCCCCCTCGTGACCACCTACATCATCTTGTTTGCCTACATCTACTTCTCCACGCGTAGGTCACGGCAAGGAAGCTGGGCCTTTCCAGGCCAAATGGACATTTCCAGATCATTGGCCCCCTGCCTCTGAAGGTGGCTTGGGCAGAGGCGTGGACTTTGCCCCATGGTCACAGAAGTCAGGGCTTTGTCCCCAGCAGTGTCTCAGGGGCTTGGGTGGGCCAGGGCTCCTCTGGGTCCTCAGGAAAAGACCCTTCCTAGGTTAGGATTCCCAGAGACGCACGATGTCCCGGAGACTGGGAAGTGTTTGTGGCTGTCCTTTTCTTTGGTTAAACCAGGGGCCTTCCCTTTGATTGTCAGGGTACACTTGACTCCTGGCAGCTCAGGGAAGGGCCTTGTGTGCCAGGGTCAGGGAACGTGCTGCTCTGATGCGTCCTCTCTGCCCTCCAGGCAAGATCGACATGGTCAAGTCCAAGTGGGGGCTGGCTCTGGCCGCCGTGGTCACGGTGCTCAGCTCGCTGCTCATGTCTGTGGGGCTCTGCACACTCTTCGGCCTGACACCCACCCTCAACGGCGGGTAGGTCCCCAACAGGCTTCACTGGGCCACAGGGTGGACCCCCAGGCCAGAAAGCCTTGCACCCCTGGCCCACCCTAGACTGGGCACATTCTTATTTTGACATTTAAGAGGTATATTTTTTTCTTCTTAAGTTACCTGACTTGTATTCATACGTGTATATATAGTATGTCAGTGTATCTACTTATTGTGTGTGTGTGTGTATGTACATACACGTGCATGTGTGTGTGTATATGGGGTATGTATTTATGTATGTGAGTACAAGTGTGTTTATGCGTGGATCTGTCTGTGGCTGTGTTGCGTGTGTATATGTGTTGTATGGTTCTTTGTTTATACGCTATGTTTGTATATGTGGGCATACTGCTCCCTGAGCCTTAAACCACAGATGGTGTGAGATAGAGAAGCATACTTTCCTTCCTTTTTTACTGTTAAAACATTTAAATGCCTAATAAAATAGGTCCATTTATAGCAAGCTTTTTAAAAGGTACAAGCACCCTCTATAAAGTGTGGCCTTTCCATTGGTCATTTCTTTCCCTTGCCATTTCCCTCTGAGTCGGGTTGGAAGCCCTTCCTGGGTTTGTTCTCAGGCTGTGGTCTCCTTGGCCCTGCTCACCTATTCGTACTAACCGATTGGCCTGTCCCCACCGTGGCTTGTCAAGCTGGTTGCAGAAAGAGCAAATTTGTGTTTTTGTTACTTTCCCTGCTCATACAACATCTGCTTCCTTTCTTGAACCTGCTGGTGCTAAACACCCCTCCCCACATAGTGCCTGCTGAGCCCCGCTCCAGGGTCCGCAGAGGGGTCCTGGCGGGGCCCACCTCGGCTGCTGCTCCTTGTGAGCAGCCCTCTCTCCCCGGCACCAGCAGTGTGAGCCGGGGTCTTGGGGAGCCGGTAGTTTTCTGTAGGAATCGCTTTCCAAGCACAGCTTCTCCACAGAGGTGAGCAGGGCTTTAGGCTGGTCGCACACCCTTATTCACTCCTCGTGGCTTGGCCGTGGTCGTGTCCTCCGGCCGGCAGTCTGCTGTGGGAAGGACACTGTGCTGGATGGATGGGAATGAATGGGATGGTGCTGCTGCCTGAAAGCTGAGTGCCGTGTGGACAGGGCCCTGGGGCAGGTGCGGAGGGTAGGGTTCCTGACCTGTGCTTGTGGTTGCTCAGCAGCCCCCACTACAGGCTGCAAACCCCACAGCCCCTGTAACCCCTGGGGCCCAGACCTGTTGAGAGCTAGATGTGTGGTGGGGGCCTCCTCAGCACGTCCTCACCCTCTGTCTCCCTCTGTCCCCAGTGAGATTTTCCCCTACCTTGTGGTGGTTATTGGGTTAGAGAATGTGCTGGTGCTCACCAAGTCGGTGGTCTCGACACCTGTGGACCTCGAGGTGAAGCTGCGCATTGCCCAAGGTAATGCAGAGGGGCGTGGGGGTGCCCCCGGGTGCGGGGTGCCCCAGGGTGGGGGGCTGTGCTGCGCTCCCTCCTGCTGAGGAAGCTGGGAGCTGCAGACACCGCCGTTGCTCTGGCCTCCAGTGCGGTACAGGGTGGGCCACCAGGTCCTGGCAGCTTGTTAGCGCGTCCCAAGGGACTGTGGCATCGGCAGACTGTACTTTGTCCTGGTTCACGTGTCAGTAAGAAAGCCAACCAGACTTGCCCTGGCCGGTGTGGCTCAGCAATTAGAGCGTGGGCCCACGGACCAATGAGTTGCGGGCTTGATTCCGGTCAAGGACACGCACCTCAGTTGTGCTTGGTCCCCGGCCCTGGTAGGGTCGGGCGTGAGGCAACCAGTTGATGAGGCTCTATCACATCGATGTTTCTCTCTGTCTCTCTCCCTTCCTCCCACTCCATCTGAAGATAAATGGAAAAATGTCCTCAGGTGAGGATTAAAAAACAGAAAGAAAGAAAGCAAACCAGACTCAACTGTGGGGCTCTTGTGTTTGGTGACTGTTCTTCCTGCCTCATCCCACCACAGTAGGCGTGGGCTGGTCACTTCAGGGATGCTGTCTCCACAGCTGCCAGAACAGCCCCTGTGGCCTCTGTGGCAGAAGCTAGGGATCTGGGTTCTGTGGAAACCAGAGAGCCCAGGCCTTGCACCTCCTCTTCCCAGCCCCATGCCTGTGGGACTGAGGCTGGAAGCCGGTACCGTGAGCGTCGGGAGAGTGCGGGCCCTGCTCCAGACGGGGAGTTCCGAGGGGTTCGGGAAGTGCCTTAGCCACGCGGCCGGGACCGCACTGCAGCCCTGAGCAGTGGCCCAGGGCGCCTAGGGAGGGGCTCAAGGAGGAACAAAGTAGCTCTTCTGTCCCTTGAGCCGTTCTGCCACATGGTGGGCGGGACTCTCACATCAGGCGCACGTGGGCCGACAGGAGCAGCACGTGAAGGCTGGCCGTGTCAGGGCGGTAGCGAGTTGGTGAGCTCGTTTGGTGCCCTGCTTCTCCCTTCCAGATGGCTCGAGTTCTCCCCGTGCCCTGCGAGCCTCTTGCTGCAGCTGCCATGCGGTGATCGCAGCACCGTGGAACCCGGGCTCCAGCAGGGGCCCGAGGGTTGGGCACTTTGGGGAGATGGCTGCCTCAGAAGGCTGGGTGTCCTCTCCACATCTGTGCCCTCTGAGGACCGTAGGTCGCCTGCAGACAGGTAGTGGATGGAGGTCGAGTGCTGGCCCCATGGCCCTGTTGCCCTCTGCAGGCCTAAGCTGTGAGAGCTGGTCCATCATGAAGAACGTGGCCACAGAGCTTGGGATCATCCTCATTGGCTACTTCACCCTTGTGCCCGCCATCCAGGTAAGGCCCCAGGGCCCACCACTTGGAAGATGTGGGACCTCCTGATGGCTCCCAAACTGTGCAGCCAGGCACACGTGCACCCCTCTAAGTGCAGGCACCTTGCTTGTGGGATGGGACCTCTTAGCTACCAAGATGATTGTTAGTGTGCAGAGTGCTCCCGGTGGGCCAGGTCCAAGAGAAGTACTCAGTGAGCCCTGACTGGGTTGTGGGATTGAGCTCCAGCCTGCAGGCTCTGCCTTTGACCCTGCCCTCTTACTATCTGTCATTCAGCCACGGGGCGGGGGGGGGGGGGCAGGAATCGGGGGGCAAGGCAGTGGCCAGTGGCTGACTGTGCAGTTCATCAGACCTAGTTACCTATCTCTCCGGCAGAACACCATGAGGCCCTTGAACAGGTCCCCTCCTATCTTCCCTGACCCACACCTGCAGCCTCTAGACACGTTCTGCCACCCTCATAGGAGGGTCAGCACCCATTGCCCAGTGTGGCCCCTACTCTTGGCAAAGTGCCCTCATTCAGCTGTGGGCTATGGGCAGAGGTGGAAGTAGCCCTGCACTGAGTTAGAGCCCACACTGTTGCTGACTATTTGGGAGGAGTGGTAGAAATGAAGGGGGACAACATGTCTGGGTCCTCCCCCAGGGTGGCAGGGTCTTCCCCCAGGGGGTCCAGAGGGCATCTGCAGGGCACAGTGCAGCCTTGGGACATTAGAGCTGACGTGGCCACGAGCCACCATATGCTGGACCCTTTCCCTTGCCCCAGCTGTGAGGAGGCCGTGGTGACGTGCTAGAGGGTGGGAGGGAAACTTAATCTGAAAGAGTTCCGTCTCCTGGCAGCTTGAGCAGCAGAGAGATTGCCCTTGTTCGGTCTTAGGACAGAATTAAGTCCCTTCGGCCTCGCTCCCTCCCTTCATTGGCCCAGTGCAGCTTTTGGCCAGGAACCTTTCTGAGCCCTGATGGGGTCGGGCCTGGCCCTGGGTAGGTGCTGGTCTGAGAGCAGGGCGAGTGCAGTGCAGAAGGGCTTGTTCAGAGCGGGCTGGTGGGGCTCAGAGCTTTCCAGCTTGGATCAGACTTCTCTCTAGAGCACCCACCCTTCAACCCTGTCTCTGCTGCCTCCTGGTGGGCAGGGAGGGAGCTCCGGGCATGGCCCCTTCTTGGCCACGGGGATTCAGAACTACCATTCTGGTCTCCGCTGCGCCCTGCCTGCGGCTGTGCAGATGGTGCTTGGGGGCAGGGGAGGCTTCTCTCATGTGCTGCTGGCCGTGTGGACATGGCATCCCCGCTGTGTTCTGATTCCAGGAGTTCTGTCTCTTTGCCGTCGTGGGTCTGGTGTCTGACTTCTTCCTTCAGATGCTGTTTTTTACCACCGTCCTGTCCATTGACATTCGCAGAATGGAGGTAGGAGTGGACTGAGCCCTGCCCTGCCGTCCTCCGCAGCCCTGGCTGTGGGCCTAGGGATCTCTGGGTGAGCGGTACAGACCTCAGCAAGGCCGCCGCTGCCCCGTGTGGGTGGCCCATGCCCTGCCCCTGTGCCCCGACAGCTGGCGGACCTGAACAAGCGGCTGCCCCCTGAAGCCTGCCTGCCTCCCGCTAAGCCCGTGGGGCGCCCAGCACGCTTCGAGCGGCAGCTGGCCGTGCGGCCATCCACACCCCACACCGTCACGCTGCAGCCGTCCTCTTTCCGAAACTTGCGGCTCCCCAAGAGGCTTCGTGTCGTCTACTTCCTGGCCCGTACGCGCCTGGCACAGCGCCTCATCATGGTACCTCTGACCCTGCCCTGCCCCGCCCTCCTCTGAGGGCTAGCACTCAGCTCCCCTGTAGTCTTACACTTTGTCGTAGAGGTGGGGGCCCTCCTCTTCCACCCACCCTGGTGCTTCTCAGGTGATAGCCTGGTACTGGGAGGAGCAGCCCGGGGTCATCAGGTAGAGGGGTTATGGCCCCAGTGTGACCCAGGACAGGAACTTGCTAGATGTGCTCTGGTATGGAATCAGCGCTGCTCCCCGAGTTCGGATTCATCGACTGCCCGTAGTGCGTAGGCATCGGAAAATGCTGGGCAAAATAGTTCACCGGCTGGGCTGGGCTTGGAAGAACAGCGGAGAAGGAGCAGGGCTGGCCGCTGGCCAACAGTGCCTTTCCCAGCGCGTTGAACTGAGGGGAAATGAGGCTGAGGCCCCCTGAGGACCAGGACCTGTGGGTGTCTCTGGAGCAGGTCAGGCATCTGGTCCCAGATGAGATGGGGGCTGGGGGTGGGGAAGTACTTCATCAGACCTAAGGGTGACTTCTCTGTTTCTAAGCCAGGAAACCCAAACCCTGACCATAGAAAGGGAACTAGGTCCCCCCAGTGACATTTGGCCCCAGGTGGTAGTAGGAGGACTTGGGGAGGAAAAGGGAAGGGCAGATTGGGCCTGTGTCCTCGCCCCCCATGCCTGAGGTGCCTGTGCTGCCTCCTCCTGGCATGAGGGCCAAGTTTGCAGGGGTGGGGGCTGCCCCTTCCTCCCAGAGGCCTTGCTGAGCACCCAGTGCCCCACTGCAGGCCGGCACCGTTGTCTGGATTGGCATCCTGGTGTACACAGATCCAGCAGGGCTGCGCGTCTACCTCACTGCCCAGGTGACGGAACAGAGCCCACTGGGCGAGGGTGCCCTGACTCCCATGCCTGTGCCTGGTGGCATGCTGCCCGCCAGCCATCCAGACCCCGCCTTCTCCATCTTCCCACCTGATGCCCCTAAGTTCCCCGAGAACCATACATTGGCAGGGGAGATGCCTGAGCCTGGTGGTCCAGTAGAGGGTGGTCATGACAGCCCTGTCCCAGAGGTAACCTGGGGGCCTGAGGATGAGGAACTTTGGAGGAAATTGTCCTTCCGCCACTGGCCAACGCTCTTCAGCTACTACAACATCACACTGGCCAAGAGGTAAGTTGGGCTGTGCCCGTTGCAACCTCCCCACCTGTCGGCGTCAGCTCACCATCCCGAAGCATTCCTTTCCCTTGGGTGGGAAACCCACTGCCCTGAACCCTGTTGTCTGGCCTGCGCTGCAGTGATGGCTGCTTGGATGCTGGTGTCTGTGATGCAGCAAGGTCGAGGTGCCAGAGCTGGGCTGGGGAGGGGCCTCCTCTGCTCTCACCGCCCATCCAGGGAGCTGCCCTAAAAGGGTTGTCTTGGAGTCTAGCAGGTTGAGCGGAGTCCTGTGTGGAGAGGAGGACAGTAGCGGGAAGGACCCTTTTGAGGGCATCCTGGCTGAGGCTGCCCACTGCCTGGTCCCAGGTACATCAGCCTGCTGCCTGTCATCCCAGTTACACTCCACCTGAACCCAAGGGAGGCCCTGGAAGGACGGCACCCTCAGGACGGCCGAAGTGCCTGGCCTCCGCCACAGACCAGGCCTGGTGGACTCTGGGAGGCCATCCCCAAGGGGCCAGGTGTGGCACAGGCCCATGGAGACGTCACCCTGTACAAGTAAGGCCCAAGAGGGAGGAGTAGCTGGCGGGATGGACCTGGGCACACCTGACCACCTGCCCCTCAACGCAGGGTGGCGGCGCTCGGCCTGGCCTCCGGCATTGTGCTCGTGCTGCTGCTGCTCTGCCTGTACCGCGTGCTCTGTCCACGCAACTACGGGCAGCCAGGAGGTGGGCCTGGCCGGCGGCGCCGCGGAGATTTGCCTTGTGATGACTACGGCTACACGCCACCAGAGACGGAGATTGTGCCCTTGGTGCTGCGTGGGCACCTCATGGTGAGTGTGGTGTGGATGACTGGCTGCACCCACATCAGCATCAGCATCTGTTTCATGGCTGTGCTGTGCCCCCCAGGATATTGAGTGTCTGGCCAGCGACGGTATGCTGCTGGTGAGCTGTTGCCTGGCAGGCCACGTGTGCGTGTGGGATGCACAGACTGGGGACTGCCTCACACGCATCCCACGCCCCAGGTAGGTGTCTGCTACAGTCAGGTCTCCCCCACCCCCTGCTGTCCTTGCTGTCCTCACCCCACCCTCCTGGCCCCTACAGGCAGCGCAGAGACAGTGGCAGCAGCAGTGTGTTTGAGGCTCAGGAGAACTGGGAACAGTTGTCGGATGGCGGTAAGAGCAGCCCAGAGGAGCCTGGGGACAGCCCTCCGCTGCGGCACTGTCCCCAGGGCCCTCCGCCATCTTCCCTCTTCGGGGACCAGCCGGACCTCACCTGCTTGATTGACACCAACTTCTCTGTTCGGCCATGGCTCTCAGAGCCCACTCAGCCTGAGCCCCGGCACCGGGCGGGCTGTGGCCGCACTCGGGACAACCCTGGCTATGATTTCAGCCGCCTGGTGCAACGAGTGTACCAGCAGGAGGGGCTGGCTCCTGTCCACTCGCCCACCCTGCGCCCACCCTCTCCTGGGCCTGCACTACCCCAGGCCCCTGAGGACGAGGGGAGCTATCCTCCTGAGAAGGGCTCCCTGGCCCTTGCCTGGGCCCCCAGCGCAGACGGTTCCATCTGGAGCCTGGAGCTGCAGGGCAACCTCATCGTGGTGGGCCGGAGCAGTGGCCGGCTGGAGGTGGGCAGCGGGTCTGGAGGCAGCAGGGGCTGTGGGCCTCTCCAGCTCGCAGTGCTCACGGCCTCTGGCCTTGCAGGTGTGGGATGCCATCGAAGGCACTCTGCGCTGCAGCAGTGAGGAGGTCTGCTCCGGAATCACGGCCCTCGTCTTCCTGGACAAAAGGTGAGAGGACGAGGCTGCCTTCCTCAGCTGCATCCCAGGCCTTTCTGGCCCGGCACCACTGAGGGTTGAGTCCTAGATCTCCTTCGCTAGTGTGTGACTTGGCTGCCCTTTTTGGTGCCCAGCCCCCTCACACCTGTGAGCAGCAGGTAGTCCACCTCTATGGTGTGTGTGTGTGTGTGGGGGGGGGGGGGGGTTAGCAGATGTGAAGCACTTAGAATCAGGCCTGGCACATGGTGAGCTCCCAGGGCCCTTAGCCACTGTGACCACAGGTGGCGAGTACACCGGTTTCCTTTCTTACCCTTCTGAAGTCAAAGTTCTCTAATTAGCCTGTCATTGTTGATCTGTTTTTTTGTTGGGCTGTTTTCGATTATAGAAAAAAAGTGTTTTCAGAACCTTGTTTAAACTTTTCTTTCCCGTTGATGCTGGCCACTGTTCTCGCGTCCCTCCTCAGCACTCCTGGCTAGGGCTGTCCCCAGGGCTCCATCTGCACACTCCTGGGTGTGGAGGGGGGTGTCTCCCAGCTCTCACCCCTGACTAGGTGCTTCCTTCTGAATGCTGTCCCAGCTGGCTCTTCTTTCCAGGGCCCCTGACCATGTGGCACCTGGAGTCTATTGTTTTCTTGGGGTAGAAGAGGTACCTCTTGCCTTTAGCTCTAATTTCTGCTGCCATTCTAGCCACCACCAGGCAAAGGTTTTGCCCAAGTTCATTGGTTCCCCCCAACTTGGAAATTCTTCCCTGCTTTTTTTAAATTTTTTTTTTTAATCCTCACCAGAGGATATTTTTTCCATTTTTCTTCAGATAGAGGGGGATGGGGAGAGGGAGAATCATTGATGTGAGACACATCGACTGGTTGCCTCTCGCACGACCCTAACTAGGACTGGGGACAAACCACAACTGAGGTATGTACCCTTGACCGGAATGGACCCCGCAACTCATTGGTCCAACCACTGAACTGTCTGGCCAAGGCTGCTTTATTTATATTTTTAGTTTTAGGGAAAGCCCACACGTCGCAGCCCAGCCTTCAAAGTTCCTGGTGACCACGATCTCTCCTCCTCGCCCTCCCCTCCCCCTGTAACCGTGCTTTGCTCTGCTGTGGGTCCTCAAATTCATGGGCAGAGGTTGGCAAACGTGGGTTGTTTTTGCTGAAGACAGATTCTGAACACTACTCCCAGGCTTTGGGGCCGTTGGGCAGTGAGGAAAAAGCAAATGGAGGGGGAGGCACTTGTTTCAAAGCTGCTTTTGTGTGATGGCGACAGCAGCACCGCCTGCTGCTTCCGAACAGCCCGACTTTCGGTTTATTTCCCTCCTCTGAAGCCTTTCCTTTGGCTCTAGGCTCTGGAGGGACTTCTTCCATGCTTGCTTGTTTTAATTTAGTCTCACGTGATACTCCCAGGCATCACTTTATCCATATTAACTCATTTGCTCCTCAAGACCACCCTGTGAGGTGGGTGCTGTTGTCGCCATTTCACAGATGAGGAGACAGAGGCAGAGGACATGGATTGCAACCTGGGCCTCCTCCCCAGCACCTGTACCTCCCTCGTGTCTCCCAGCGGAGCTGAGCCTTCCAGTGTCTGTGGTGCTCGGTCCCAAGGCTGGGGCTCTGAGGAGCCACTTGGCCATGCTTTTCTCTTTCAGGATTGTGGCTGCTCGGCTCAATGGTTCCCTTGATTTCTTCTCCCTGGAGACCCACACTGCCTTCAGCCCCCTGCAGTTCCGAGGTCAGAGGGTCTGGGCGTGGCAGGTGGGATGCAGGGGCTGTCTGCAAGGAGTCTTCTCAGAGACCCCCCTCAGTTGGCCTGTTATCTCCAGGGCAGGGCAGTTCGTCCACATCCCCCGTGTACAGCAGCAGTGACAGGGTGGCCTGTCGCCTAACCCACACGGTGCCCTGTGCACACCAGAAACCCATTACAGCCCTGAAGGCTGCTGCTGGACGCCTCGTGACTGGGAGCCAAGACCATACACTGAGGGTGAGTGTTGGCTTCATCTTTTGGGCCCTCGAGTGACCTAGCACAGGGGGGTTAGTAAGGGAGAAGCTGGAGATGTCCTAGATGTAATTTCCTAGCCAGAGTATAATTTAGAAAAACAGACCCCAGAACCTGATGCCCATTCCTCCCCAGGTGTTCCGTCTAGAGGACTCGTGTTGCCTCTTCACCCTGCAGGGCCACTCAGGGGCCATCACAACTGTGTACATTGACCAGGTGAGGGGACTGTGGGTGGGTGCAGGAGAGTCAAGCCAGGCCAGAGCCGTTGTTTTCTGACTCCTGGGAAGCAGAGTGAGGCCCCACCCACTAAGGACACCCTGGTGGACAAAGGTTTCTGCCACAATGACCAAGCTCTCCTGGGCTTTTCCCCTAGACCATGGTGTTGGCCAGTGGAGGACAAGACGGGGCCATCTGCCTGTGGGATGTGCTAACAGGCAGCCGGGTCAGCCACATGTTTGCTCACCGTGGGGATGTCACCTCCCTCACCTGTACCACCTCCTGCGTCATCAGCAGTGGTCTGGATGACCTTATTAGCATCTGGGACCGCAGCACAGGCATCAAGCTCTACTCCATTCAGCAGGTAGGCAGCTTGGGGGCCAGCACTCTCTTGCTGGTTCAGGGAAGGACTCAAGACAGTGAGCCTGTCATGTCCTTCCTTGCCTCTAGGACCTGGGCTGTGGTGCAAGCTTGGGTGTCATCTCAGACAACCTGCTGGTGACTGGTGGCCAGGGCTGTGTCTCCTTTTGGGACCTAAACTACGGGGACCTGTTACAGACAGTCTACCTGGGTAAGAACAGTGAGGGCCAGCCCGCTCGCCAGATCCTGGTGCTGGACAACGCCGCCATCGTCTGCAACTTTGGCAGCGAGCTCAGCCTGGTGTACGTGCCCTCCGTGCTGGAGAAGCTGGACTGAGGGCGGGCTTGGGTGCTCTGTGGAGCCAATGCACTGAGACTAGGGGAAGTAGCTGCATCTTCTGGAAGCTGCCTCAAGACTGTAACATTAAACTTAAACTTTTTAAAAAATCCCAGGGGCCTTGTGAGGCATGTGTGTCTTCCTCTTCCCTGTGCCAAAAAGAAGTCAAGCGTGGTCCCAAGTCAAGGTGCCAGGTATTCCTGGGGCTCCTTCTCTGATGCAGCAATGGGCAGACACTGGCCACAGAACAGGTTGGTTTATTACTTCAACAGCAAAGAGCTGAAAAAATGTCAGGTCCCACAAAGGAGCACAACCTGCCTCAAGGCCTGCAATACACCTTCACCCTACCGGGGTGTGAGCTACACCAGGTAGGGCTAAAGGCAGCAAGAATGGGAGGAAGAGACTCGGCCCACCTCAAGAAACCCTGATGGGCACCGGCGGGCAAGCCTGTTCAGGTCTTGTTGAGTGTCCAGAGTGGATCCAGAAGGCTGAGGGGATCATCAGTGGGCCGGGCAGCCCGCAGCCCCTGCCCATTGTGGGCCTGCAGAAAGTTCTGCTTGCTCATCCGCTGTTTTCCCCGCAAGGAGCTGTCCAGAGAAAAGGTCTCAGGGGTTAGAGAGGCCAGCAACTCCAGGGAGGAGGAGGGGGGCCCCAGACTGGTGACTTCAGGAACTGGCTGTTCCTCCTCAGGCTGGGGTGCCTCGGGCAGGGGTGAAGAGAGGGGGGGTGGGGAGGAGGATGGGAGCTGGGTGGCCTCTGGGAGGCTGGCTGGCAGCAGGCCTAGGGGCTCTACAGGGACTGCCAGGCAGGCGGCGGAGGAGGAATCCAAGCTCCCAGAAGGCCGGATGCTGAGCTTGGCAATAGTGGCCTGGATGGAGCTGATGGGCACATCCCCACCGAGGACCAGGTCCTGGGAGTCCTGAGGAAGGTGATTCTGAAAAGACAAAAGTGGGTGAGGGGCCAGAAGGCTATGGCCGTCCCAGCAGCCCTTTCCTTCCTCACCTTCTGGCTGATGCTTGTGCCAGCCAAGGGTTTGCAGGGTGGGGGCACACCATGGCGCTGCAGGACCTGCTCCACGTGTCTTACCACCGCCTCATGGCAGAACCTGAGGTGCAGCTGCAGAGGCACATGTGTCCTGGTCAGCTGGGTTGGCTGTCACCTCAGGGCCTGCCCCAGTGCCCAGACCCTCACCTTCTCCTGCAGCATGTGTTTCCTCTGCTGCCGCATGCGCCGCACCAGCTGAGGCAGCTCAGGAAGCCTGTTCCCTGCCTCCACTTCCTGCACAGCTGCATAGAGCAATGCAAAGGCTCCCGTGCGGCCCACCCCGGAGCTGCAGCAGGAAAGGGGTGTAAGGCCAAGAGCCCTCAGAGGAGGAACCCTCTGGCAGGTGTCCCCTGCCCCACACCCTACCTGCAGTGCACAACAATTGGTGTGTGCAGGGGTCGCTGGTGCAGGTAATGTGCGTGTACCTCCTGGATGAAGCGCAGCAAGTTGCTGGGGCTGTCGGGCAGGCCTCTGCAGGAATGGGGTAGAATCTCTTGAGTCAGACCTGATCTGGGGCCCTCACCATCTCCCCACCCCCATGCTCCCAACCACCCAGGGCAGCAGACGCACAACTCTGGCCAAGTGGGGAAGTGGAGGTGCACGAGCGAGCGCTTGAGGCTCTGGTCACGGAACTGCAGGCTCAGCACCCGTTCCACGTGGGTCTCAGTGGTGCGGACACTGCTCAGTGCCAGGCTCAGGGCACCATGCACCATGGGCTGGCCTCTCTCGGTGGGGAAGTAGCGTGCCACCTTTTGCTGAAGGGCAAACAGGGTGTTTAGGGCTGCTTTTCCAGGATCCCTCCTGGGCACCCACCCAACCTCCACCTCTTACCTTCTCCATCTCAGCCTCAGACACCAGCATGACAATGACCGACACTTTCTGCTCATGCACCATGAGCCAGAAGTCAGCAGCTGTGCCAGGCAAAGGGGCCTGGGTGGCCACCAAGGGCGGGCAGTACGGTGAGAGCCCCTCCACGCGGCTGGCATTGATATAGTCATCCTTGCCTGAGCGCAGTACCACGCGGTTACTGTCATAGGGCATAACGTCCTGGTGCCGGTTCTTCAGCGAGTAGCAGCGGGCAATGGCAATGGACCGGCCACGGGCGTCATGTTCCTGTGCGTCTTGCAGCTCCCGCCAAACAGTGTCCAGAACCCCGGCATCACCCAGCTGTCCCCGAAAGGCCTCTAGCTCTTGCTGCAACTGCTGCAGCCTCCCCGGATGCTCATAGGGGTCCCGCTCAATCAGCCGCAGGGCCTGTCGCCGGCCCTCAGCTGCATCCACCTTAGTCGGCTGCAACAAGGGCTGCCCGCCCCCAGGAGGCTGAGTGCCACTGTGCTGGCTCTCAGGGCTGGAGGAGAGCAGGTCTGCAGCTGCACTGCCCCGGCGCAGGCATGGGGGTGGCTCTGCTGCAGGAGGCTGAGGAGGTACTGGGCCAGGCCCAGGTGAGGGTGCAGGTGAAGGCACCAGGTGGGGACTAGGGGTGGCTTGGTTGGCAGGTGAGGGGCCTTGAATAGGGAGAGAGGCTGCCTGGGGGCCTAGGGGTCTGGGGGAAGGGGCATATGCCAAGGTAGGATGGGGAGGTTGAGGGGGCCCAGGGCTGGAAAAAGGCAGAGCCCCTGAGTGAGGAGGCAGGGGGTCCTGAGGGGGACCTGGATAGAGCTGGGTGTGCAGAGGAGGTGGTGGCTGCCCCAGGACACCAGGCTGAGGGGCAAAGGGGTATGGGGGTGGGGGGGGGACAAGTCCCGGAGCCTGGGATGGGAAGAGGTGAGGATGCTGTAGTGGAAGGGGCTGTTGGGGGGGCTGAGGCCCAAATGCCGCTCGTGCAGGATGAAGTTGGGGGCCAATCCTCGGTGCTGGAAAACCTGCGGGGATCCCAGGAGAGAAGTGGTGCTGGGCTGGGGGTGCTGTGAGGGGCTGCTTGGGACCCAAAGGATAGTTGTAAGACATGGGCAGTGGCTGGGGTGGGGGTACTGGGAAGCAGGGTTGGGGAGGAGCAGGGGTGGGATTCGGCCGGGGTGCTGTGTGGCTGGAGATGGGAGCCTGGACACTGTCCACTGTGGTGGTGGCTGGCCGAACCCCCAAAGCCAACTCGGGGCCCGAGAACTGAGGAGATGGGGCTGAGGGCAGACCTGCAACCGGAAGGTGTGGTCCTAAACCCCCATAGGGACTGCTCACCACACTGTGCTGAGGGGAAGATCGGGGCACAAGGCCCAGCTCTGGTGTGTAGACAGGGGCTGGGTAGATAGCAGGTCCAGGTGCAATGGCCACTGCAGGGGGCCCTGTGGCCTGGGGGACCCTGGGCTGCAACACCTGTGTAGGGCTTGAGTAGTTGCCCGGGGGTAAGGGGCCTGAGAGATAGTGGGGTCCTGGGCCTGCAGAGCTGGGGAAGGGGCCAGGAGCAAAGCGGAGCGCAGCAGCAGCTCCCAGGAAGGCATCAGGGGGCAGGCTGCGCAGCTCCTCCGGCGGGTCTCCGGTCTCCCCTGCCTCACCCTCCTCCCTGCGGGGCAGCAGTGGCTTGGGGGCCGTGGGCCGTGGTGGTGGCTTCTTTTTCAGCTCCCTGTGGGATGAGGTAAGAAATGGAGCCAGCCCCCTATCAGCCCAGTCTGGGTCTGGGCTGCAGCTGCCCTGTGGTCCTGGGGCCACACCTACCTGTCCAGGAGCTGCTGGCGGGCAGCCTCACGGGCCTGGCAGGCAGACTGTGCCCGTTCCAGGAGAGCAGCCACTTTGCTTTCCAGGTCTGCATAGAAGTCCTTGCCCTCTTGGGACTTCTTCATCAGGTCCTCATAGGCTTCATAGGAGGCCACCAGGGTCTGTAGTGTGGAATTCCACCTGGTGGGCAGAAGGGCCAGCAGGTGAGCAGTTGGAGCCAAGCTCTGTGCCGGACCCTGGGCAAGAGAATAAAGCCAGGCACTGACTTTTGGTCCAGTTCGCTGAGTGCCCGGCGCACTGCCGCATACTGCACATTGGCCTCTGTCAGGGCCCGGAGGATGTTGTCCTGGGCAGCCAGGTTCTGCTCCAGGTACACCCTCAGCTGGTCATACTTCTTCAGCTGTTCCTCAAACAGCTTCTGAGGGTGTTGGGGGATGGAGAACAGACACTCAAGGCTTTGCCACTTCAGGGTGGAGCCCAAAGTCAGGGCCCCGCCACCCGCTCACCCACACCACCTTCATCTCTGAGTGGTCCGTGGTAACCAGCGAGGCAGTAATGTCATCCTTCTGGATGAGCTCACGCAGCTGCTGCTCCAGAGACACGCGCTGGTCCCGCATCTCCTGCACCTTGGCCAGGATGCGCTTCAGGTTCTGCAGCACAGCCTTGTCCTCTGGGGGCAGCAGTGATCAGAAAGGCCAGAGAAGCCCCCAGCTCTGTCTTAGCCCATGGGCATGGGATGGGTAGTACTCACCTGGGGAGAGGACTGGTGTGGGCAGGGCAGCCCGGACCTGGTCCAGTGGCCCGCTGAGCAGGCGGAGGTTGCTAACATGCAGGTTCATGGCGCGGTGTAGCTCACTGTTGGTGAAGGAGGCCTTTTCGTGGACCTCCATGTACTTGGCCCATTCTCGCCTCACCTCGGTCAGCTCGGCCTTGGAGACTGCCATACTGACCCCTGCCTGGCCCACTGCCTCCTGCAACTTCTGGTCTAGCAGTTCATCCTCCTCCAGCAGATCCCTGATGTCCTTCAGCGAGGCCTCCACATCCGTGAACACACCAGACAGCACTGAGGGCATGTATGGGAAACAGCCTCTGAGGCAGGCAGGCCAGGCACCCCCTTTAGCCTGTCCCTGACTAGCCAGAACTGCCTCCTCAGTCCAGGGCTTGTGTGCAGCCCAACACTTGCTGAGCAATGCAGGGCACAAAAGGTGCAGTGTGGGTGAGGGTATTTGTGCCAGGTGCTTGGAGAGGTGCAACCTCCATCCTGGGTGAGCAGGAGACAGGGAGAGCGCCGCAGAAGATGAATTCCTTGTTCCCACCCTCCACCTGCCTCTCTACCCCCCCTCACCCTGCCCCCAACCTTGCATGGACTGGACAAGGTTCCTAACAG